AGGTCTCGAAGATCAACCAGAAAGGATCTTCACAGGGAAGAGTAAACACAGCTGGAAATGGACAGTGTTTGGGGGCCTGAGATGAGCACAGGGCATGGTCCTGCAGTTGATCAGGGAATGCTTCTTCCTGCTGCCAGCAGGTCCTTGGAGAGGGTTGTCCTGTAGGTCAAGGTGGGTCAAGTCCCAGGGGTGCTGAGGAAGGAGAAGCTTCCCTGGGTCTGGTTGAGTCCGGGCAGCAGGTATTCTGTCCAAACCGTCCTACTGTTCTTTTGCTTGGAATTGAAGACTTTGCATTTCCTGCCGGAAGCGATTCTCTGAGAAAGGGTGGGATTCGGGAGCTGTAAGTCTTTCCTTTGTGAAGTGGAGCAGGGTAGCGGGGTGGGGTCAGAAAGGAGAGGAGGCAGAGCTCAGCACCCAAAGCGGACGATGACACAAATGCACAAATGCTGTCCCTGGAAGTCCTGGCACTCCCAGGGAGGACCAGCCGCCCGGGGGAAAAGTTCAGTGGGACTCTTTCCTTCCTCTCAGGTTTTTGACTTTGAATTGACTCCAGAGGACATGAAAGCGATCAACGGCCTCGACAGAAATTTCCGATACTCTCGATTGCTGTTGTAAGTGACCCTCACAGATTGTTTCATGGTTGTTTTCCACAGCAAGTAGGTTCACAGAGGAATGAAGCTTCCTACATCAGAAAGACAGGCCTGATCTGGGGAGTAAGAAAGAAAGAGGATCTGCCCGTAACCCTCAGACCAGAGGTTTACTCCTGGCTCAGGCTCGGATGCAGCAGGAATGTGAGTGGCCCGGGCCACAGTCTAAGTAAAACTGCCCAAGTTTCCATCACTGTGAAGCTGCTTCTTCATTCCCTTGTCCTGTGCCTGGGGAACTTGCACCCGGGGCTCATTTACCTAGAGACACAGAAGGCACGGAGCCTATGACCCACGATACTTTTGGTGGCCCATAAAAGTGTTTTATCATTAATTCATGTTAAAAACAGAAAAAAATGAACACAATAATAATGACCAGGTAGTAATGAATCCAGCTAGGTCCATCTTCGTCTCGGCACCACGGTGATGTAAAATGCAATTTTAGAATTTTTGTGGAGGATGGGCCCCTAAGGCAGGTGTGCAGAGGTCCCAGGAAGTCACAGTGGGNGTCACAGTGGGCCCTGCTGCCAAGTGCTCCCCTAGAGGTCCAGGGTCATCTGTGCTCTGTGTGGCATCCCCTTCCCAGAACAGCACCCATTTCTCCCAATTGTGTCTCTTCCGCCACAACTCCCACTTCCTCACTTTGCAATCTCACCAAGCTGAATTGTAAATGGATCATGACATTAACTGACCCTCAGTGTTAGTGACTGACGTGTCCCCATCAGCATGTACCACGGTAAGATCCTCTGGAATTTGTTTGGTTCCCCAAGTCAAAACTATTCTCAAGTGTCAGTTTTGCTCATTAAAACGCTTCCTGTGAGGATCCTGTAGGTCAGCTGTCCTGGGTTATTCACAAACAGGACGTTCCATGTGTTTAACTCGGGCAGGATCTCAGGTTAAGAGGAAGAGGAACAATCAGCTGCGACAAGTTCAGAAGGGAGTTTAGACAGGAGGAGAAATAAAATTTTAGCGATAAGAATAAAAATTCAGTCTGCAAAGAAAGATCTCAACCCCTTCCTGTCTGTAAAACTATGCCAGGATTCTGAAGAAAGACATTTTGAGTGAGAAAAAGGTGGGAAGTCACTTTTGTCTACCCAGAGGCTTTCCAGTGTGAGTCTACAATCTGCATCATCAGATTGTGAGTCCCTCAACTACTCATCTTTGAGGACTGTGTCTATAACACAGCTCCTGGCACAAAGAACTGCTCAGGACATGCTCTATAGTGACATTTAACTGAAAAGGACAGATATAAAAAAAGAAGAAAATGGAGAAAAGGAAAAACAGTAATGCTAATTACTGAATAACAAGTATCTTATAAGTTACAGTGAAGGAAGCAGTAATCACATTTTGTGGGTCTGGTTATTAGAGATGCATCTTTTCTCCTCAGTAGGTTAGACTTTCCTTCGTGGAGGAGCCTGGATCACAGATGAGGCTCAGTGTATGTGTGTTGAGTGAGCGAGTGAAAAAGAGCAGCTTGACCCTCACTGCCAGCATTGTCATGCCCTGAGGACGCATGCTGCACCTGCAGCTGAGCTGACCACATGCTTTTATTTAAAATTTTTTGAAAAATTAAAACATATTTGATTGTACATATCTGTGGGGTACAGAGTTGAGTATCAATAGCTGTGTGCACTATGTGATGCTCAAATCACTATAATTAGTATATTCAATATTACACGATGTAATCATTTTTTGTGTCCCTTTACCAATTCTTCTCTTTTAGAATTTGTAATAGAAATCAAACTATGTGTCAGTTTGGTGTTTACATACACGTGAATGTGGGAATTGGGCATGCATGTGGGGTTTGCACATGAGCAGGGAGCTTAGCTTGTGTGTATGTGTGCCACCAAAAAGTAGTATATGTTTGTAAAATCAGAGTTTTTAGCCCATTCTTTTTTTTTTAATTTTTATTATTTTTATTTTGTCAATATACAATGTAGTTGATTATTATATCCCATCACCGAAACCTTCCTCCCTCCTCCCTCTCCCCCCTCCCACCCAAGTGTGTCCCCTCCATTTGCTTGTTGTAAGAACTTCAAAAAAAATTGTGGTTGTTATATCTTCCTCTCCGCCCCCCCCCCAGGCCGCGTTTTTTTTTTTTTTTTTTTTTTTTTTTTTTTTTTTTTTTTTTTTTTT